TATTCTGTAACGGCTATATAATTTGTTTGTAACGCGTTCAGTTCATCTTTTATATCAAGTTAGAGAGGTTAAACCTTGATTGATGTGTTCCGTTATAAGTTTCTCTCTCTCACCTAATATTACAGTTGTACTTTTTTATTTTTTTGGGAGGTCGAGAGACAAAAGAGAAGATCAAGGTAAGAGAGTTAATCCCCCATATTGGACTTATACCCAGGGTACCCGAGGTAGGACAGGGTACCCACTTCTTTCAAGAATGTTACTCGCGCGTTGTGTGGATTTTTACGTGAAGGAGACGTGGAGGATGCAATTACACCCAAAAATGGCGGATCGTACGTCTTAAAAACGAAAATATCCGAATTGCCTAAAGTTTCAAACGCCAAATCAAAGACAGTTTCTAAAAGTAGCGTTGCTAAAGCTCCTTTATTCAAATAAAGGAGACATCCGCACAGTCTTGGAGGTTTCCCTTCGCCCTGTAAACAAAACAAGAATAAATGTTTACGTGGAAAACTGCTTGGGCTGAACACGCATCGCGCAATTAACATCCGCAGACGAACTGGGTACCATTGTAAAAGGTAACCTGCGATGAAGCGTTTCTTTTTTTCGAGGGAAGAGAAAAACAAATAAACAACGCCTAATCGCAGACTACTTCAGACGGGTTACCTTGGGTATAAGGCCTGTATGTGGTATTGATTCTTAGCTTGATCTTCTCGTGCCTCAAGAGAAAAGTAATTTGCTAAAAGGCGAGAAGCGTAGCTGCCCAATTCCTGCCCATTTCCGCTCACACGCCATTACCCTAGTAAACTAATTTACGCCAACTTAAGCTCTACATTCAAAATTGTTACAATAAAATACAATTCTTTCTCCTTGTTTGGTTACGCTGTCTGAGGTAATAATGGAGATTTCTCAAGTTGCGGTAACTTGCCTTTAGGTGGGGATGTTCCTCGCCGAAAACCTTTTCCCTAATAGTCAGTGCCTTCTCGTGGTACTGTTTTGCTTCATTGTACTGTCCAAGATCCGCATGAACACTTCCCAAGTTGTTATACCTGGCGGCTACATCGGCATGTTCCTCACTGAACATTTTTTTCCTGATGATCAGCGCCTTCTCGTGGACGGTATTGTTTTGCTTCATTGTACTGTCCAAGATGTGCATGAACACTTCCCAAGTTG